GGAGGGATGAATGGAGGAGTGAATGGAGAGGGAGGAAGGGAGGGAGGGGTGGTTGGAGCAATGGAGAGAGAAATGGATGGAGAGATAGAGGGGTGGCTGAAGAGGGAAGGAGAGGTGTGGAGAGGGAAGCAAGAATTCCTGGACAGGTAAGCAAATACTTCCTGACCCCTCTCCTGCCTGGAGATGAAGACAAAAGCTACCTCCATGCCAGCAGCCCCTGCTTGGACACCTACAGTCCCACATTCCTGTGACACCCTCAAGCCCTCTCTGCCCTGACTTTGTGTTTAAACTAGAGAACACACTGTTGGCCTCCTTAGCATCTGCCAAACTCCCTCTGTGATCTTACTCCAAGCATGCTATCTTTGTCCCCAGCGAAACTGACCTGGTCATGGGGACAGAGATGATGGGACACAGAGGTAGCCCATGGTGCTCTACCCCACCATGTTCCCCAGACCCTCCTGGTATGCCGAATCATTTCCCTCTCTGGGATGAATCCCTGAGGCTGCCCATCCTGCCCACACTGGATGCAGTTTGAGCCCACATGCTGCAGCAGAAATGGAGGGGGACACCTGGCCAAGAACATCCAGGGGCAAGAGCACAGAAGCCTTCCTGGTAGCAGGAAACAAAGACATGTAAGATAACCCCTTAAGAGAAGGAAACCCCTTAGTCCTTCTTCTCGTCCCATTGCCATTGCCTCACAGGACAGGTGAAGGTGAGAAAGGGCCCTGGATGGAGTTGCTGCTGCCTGGCCCAGGGGCTCTGCAGGAGAAGGAGCCTTCCAGACCAGTGGAGGCAGAGAGGGAAATCCCAAAAATAGAACTAAAGAGGGGGGAGGGGGAGGGGAAGAAAAATAAACCCAACAACCCCAAATTCCCGTTTTTAATGCCAAATCCCAGCTCGCTTGCCTCCCTGTCACCCTGGCGACATTCCTTGTGGTTGCTATGGAAACGGGAGGCATGGAGAGAGCATCACCGTGCGGGGTGGTGGCAGCACCCGGCATTATTTTGGGAGGCAGGGAGACACCCGGCGCAAGGCACTTTGCATCGTGGCAGGGAGGGAGGGAGGAAGAGAGGTTTATTTTTACTCTCTCCCACTTCACGTGCCAATTTTGTTCTTCTGAAAGGGACTAGGTGTCCCTTTGCCATCCCAGCAGCTTTCCCATGGCCCTCATGAATGCTGAACAGGGATGCCCCATGGGGAGACCCCAGCCCCATTACCATGTTCCAGCTGGGTGGGTTTGGTTGGACTGCTCCTATGAAGTCCCTCTGATGGTCACCTCAGTTGGTGGTTCCAGTACCACAGCAGCAGATAATGCTGGGACTTTGAACCAATCAGTTCTTCTTGGGAAGGTGCAAGATGAGGAGAATAAACATTTGCCACCCACAACAGTCTTACCCCTCTGCAGAGAGTTTCTCTCCCTGGGTGGGACAAGAAGCTGCAAAGAGGAGTGCAGGAACAAGAGAAAGATGAGAGCTCTCAGACATTGCACTCCAGGGGCTTGGAAAGGGATCTATCTGCCAGAAGAGAAGATCCCAAAGCTGTTCCTTCCCCCAAACTTTTCATCCCTGCTCCACTGCTCAACCTCTCTGGTTGCAAAAGGACCTGAGACCTGCAGGGTCACTGGGGCTGGGGCTTGGCTTTCACCAGCACCCACATGGCCTTGCAGAGCCCTGCTGAGATCCCAGGCAGCTCCACTGTGATGGCTGGAAACCCAATTTCAGCCACTCCTTACCCTGTTGCTCTTTCACCAATGCTCTCCTTTGGTCTGACCTGCTCTCCTCCCACCGACCTCTGCCTTGGTGCCCTGGCTGAGGGCAGGCACGGCCATGCCCAGTTTTATGGGGCCCAGCGGGTGTTTTCCAACCCAGCCTGTGAATGTGGCTGGAAAAGCCCAATGAGGCAGGTGCTGGAGCGTCAGAGAGGGAAAACACAACTGCCAGCCTAATGGGCAGGGAGGAAATGTATGCAAATGTATTCCGAAAGGGATCCAGTGATGCTAATAGGCTTGTTAATCCCCTCAGAAAGCACCAGGAATAATATTTTTACACTTTAATCATTAAGGATTTTACTCCAAGTGAGCCCATAAGGACAGAGGGAGACGTATAGGAGATGGGCACGGGTGGCAGCTGGGGACAGGGAGGGAGGCAGCCAGAGCCAGCCCCAGGGCAAGAGCAGGTCAGATCATATAGCACAAGAGTAACCAAACTAGACCCAGAGCCAGATGTGATTTGCTCAGGGATGAGGCAATAAATTAAAACACCCAATTGGTTGTATTAAGGCGACTTTGTGCTAGTGCTTAGATATGGACTATCTAATTGCTGGGTCTGGATATGGAGCTCCCCCTGCATAACCACTGCTCCAAGGACAAGGTTTATCCAGGCTGATCGCCCAGGGCTGTTTTCAAAGATATTAAAACTTTCTAGCAGTTACTACTGCTCTCCTTTCTGAGAAACCTCTAAAATCAGCAGCACCCATGTGCTTCTTTCACTCAGTGCATGTATTATCTCATTCATAATCCACTTGTGGGAATCCAGGATTAATACTGTCAGTGAAGTTTGTTTCAAACCAGCCCTTGGAAGGACTTTTTCTTTCCTCTGGGATCCACACTGCTCCAGATGGGACACATGAAGTCAGGGGCAGCTGGTGGAGCAGCCACCAGGGAATGGCTGTGCAGGACCCGCTGTGGAAGAGCCGCAATAGCCCAGGAATTCGAATCCCTCTCCACTTCTCCTGCTCCAGGACACAAGGTGGAGCACTGGGGAGAAGCAGCGGTGGGATAGGGCCAGGAAGAGCAGAAGGCTGCCAGCTGGGAGCGGGACAGAGGTTAATGCACCAGTGGTCAAAGTCCTTGGGAACTCACAGCCCTCGCAGGAGGGAGTGTCCTCAAAGCCAGAAGATGGAAATCCCATTCCCCCTGCCGGTTCCCCTTTATCCACACTTCCGCGTGTAACTTGAGGCAAACTGGGAAAGAAAAAAAGAGGAAGGAAAAAAAAGAAAAAGGGAAAAGTAGCGCAGCTATTCCCGCCTCTGCCTCCTCCTCTCTCTCCTCCCCAGCCAGCCAGGAGCCACGTCACCGCCGCCCAGCGCTGGCTCCAGGGCTGCTCAGCCTGGGGACAAACCCCAACTTCCAGCCTAGAGCAGGGAGAGGAAGGCCCTAGCCTGGGAGAGGGGAAAACCCACCTCGGTGGAAAAGTAAAGAAAGGAGACATCCAGCCTGGCAGGGGAAAGGCACTCGCAGCCAAGGGAGAGAGAAGCCTGAACTTTGCTCCTCAAGAAAGGAGGGCTTCGTGCTCAGGGAAAAAGGAAAGTTGAGCCGGAGGAGACCGTTTGCTCTGTCGAGGCTCAGGGGAGAAATCCTCCCTATCCTCGCCCTTGCTGCCTGCAGGAAGCACCCTGCTCCCTCCGGAGCCCCTCCGGCACCATGAACATCTTCCGCATCCTGGGGGATGTCTCCCACTTGCTGGCCATCCTTATT